TCTTTATTTTAATGTTTTTTATTTTTTATCTAAGGTTCCTCTGCTTATGACACTGTTCGGCCCTTAGCTTATCAGGATGCTAACGCGTTTTTATTTTGTTTTTCTGTTATGGAACCGCATATGCTAGAAAATATTGTTAATAAGGTAAATATTATGTTTGTTTATTTAATTTACTTTTAGTTGTATTATACTTTTTTAATTTTTAATTTTTAATCTTTATTCTTAAGAAATAAATGTTTTGAATGCGTCAACAATGTACAAATTTCATAACTATGCTTATGTGAGTTTAGAACTGATTTTTTGAAAAATTACTATAATTATCGATTTAGTTTTCACAAATATATAAAGAAATAATCATTCTTGACACAAAACATTCGTGTTCGTGATTAGTACCTTAAAAATATTAACAATATTCTTGTAAATCATAAATTAATTAAATATCATGTTATACATAAATAAAATTCAATTGCTATATTATTATTATTATATTATTAATATTTTGGGTAAACCAATCAATCTTATTTCAAATTTGCTACTACTATTACGTTGGGTACAAACGTAATTCATACTTTATATCAGTAATTTTTATCAATTTCAGTGGTATCCTGAGGTGCAAGTATACGCCCCCGGAGCTCCTATAATTTTATGTGGCTGTCAGGCGGATATTAAAAACGGCGATGTGCTAGTTTCTCCTGAAGAAGTAAGCATGTTAAACAACATTTTCAATATTTGAATTTTGAGTCATAAATTTTATATTCATATATAAAATGATTTCCACATGATAGGCGTAAAATATTCATAATTTTATTATATAAAAACATTTTATGAATGTTTGCTTTGTTTTGCTATTTGTTACTACCTGCAACAAAATAGAACAATTAACAATTGTTACAAGCAAAAATTGTGCCTTGACTAATTAGTAATTAAAATAATAGTAACAGTCAAAATATTTCTAGCAACATCACTAATTTTAATTATTAATGATTTGTCCAGGCTATGGTGATAGGACGCAAAATCGGGGCAGTAACTTACATTGAGACTTCGGCGAAATTAGCAGATCGAAGTGTATCTGACGCTTTCGAGGTAGCAGCTTTAGCAGCTACTGGTCGCTTGAGCAAGAAACAAACTCAGGTAATTATTAGACTATCGACTGCTTTTTATTCAGTTTGTATTTGATATAGTTTTAAATATTGAATTCATTATTACAGAAAATCAGCAATCAGATCACCCGCAGCAAAACAAAAAATAGTTACAAAACTGAGTTGAAAATAAAAACCAAGAAAAACTGCACCATAATGTGACATAGGCAAAAATATTTTTATTTATTTATATATAATAGAGTATTAAAAAATATATATAATATTATATATTATAAGATTTTGTAAATATTGTTATTAGCACTAGTCAATAGTTTTGAAACTCCTACTGTGATCATAATACACCAATCTGATATCAGATGCTTTTGTATAATACGCAATTGTTAATTACTTAATATACAAATAGATAAGACTATGAAACTATTTTATTTTAACTTTGTACTATAATAAATCACTGATTTTAAAATTAAAAATCTGATATAGTATTTTATTACATATAAATATATATCTCCGTAATAATTACCTACAAACATAATTTTGTGTGTTCAAAAAATACCATATAATTTACACTTTCGGCGCTGATGATACATATATATTGACCATTTCAAGAATCTAATTGTTCATGTACATTATATTTTTTATTTATAAATGTGCTGTGGTTTAATTAATGAAACATCAATACATGAATCTGATTGCATGGGACAGGACCACGAGGCTATATCAGGAAGTAATGTTCAACGAACGAAAAACGCCAAGAAAATTATAGTCCAGTCATTTAAGCTTAAATTAGGTAAAAATCTCGGAATTCGAGATATCTAGCTGTAAGTCTATAAATAATTGTATATTGACACTTAAAAGTTGTCTCAAAACCTACATATGGTATGGTGTACGCAACATATGTAGGTTTTGAGACAACTTTTAGGTGGTGATATACAAGTATTTACAGACTTACAGCTGGGTATCTCGAATTCCGAGGTGAACATACTGTAATGACTGGACTATAATGTAAAAGCTGGATTGAACCCATCTATTTGGCAGCGTATCAGGTTGTATGGTTAACAGTAAACTACTACCATTATATGCACTCTCTCACTTTTTATTATAAATAAATCCTGAGTATATATTCTGGCTAACTCCCATATACGAATAAAAAGAAGAAATATCGTAATATATTTTATTTTCTGATTAGATTTAACGAGTTCCGCTGTGTGGTGGTAGACCACGCCATTTATTGTCATTTATACTTGTTTATCTATGGATCACGCGTTAGCGTCTGCGAAATTTGGGCCACACACCTCTATTTTCCCAGTCGAGAAAACGGTAAATTATATTTGACCAAATTATAGTTAAACTAATGTATGGGGAAATAAGATTTACAGCTAATCAAATGGTGATAAAAATTATACAAGTTTCAATTAATTAAAAACTCTCGCGAGCCCTCTTGAGGTACGAGGTCGTCACCGGTCGCCAATCGCCCACGTGGCTTACGCCTGAACACTGTCGCTGTGTTAATTTATTTATTTTTAGGATTTTAGGATTTTAGGCCTTTTATCTATTATGGCATGAATATTATTTTATTTCAAATTATAATTTTTGTGGATCAATTTCTATAACTTTTTTTTGATAATTTTATCATATATGTTTAATTTATTCTCATATATTTAGTTCTCTAGCACTAGCAGTAGGTATTTTCTTACATTCTTACCATTTTAGTATCGGAGTTTTAGTTACCATAGAAGAAATAAATGACATATCATAATGAATACGATAAAAGTATTTATTACTTTATAAGAATTGTGCAAATTCAGATTGTATTTTCAACAAAGTTTGTTAGTAATCGGGCAACATTCGTAAAGACCGTTACGGATGTCGATATCAGTATCCCATGTCCCTCATATAATGCCTAATGATGGCACAAAGGTTAATGCAAATGCAAAGTGTAGTCCTTTTTTCATTGATATTCAAAAATTATTAATAAAGTTATTTATGTATATGTATATATATCTTCGTAATATTAAATTTAAACGTGAGGATTTATATAATAATAATTTATATTATAATATTGTCATACAAGTTTATGGTTTTTCTGTTGTAAATGGGGCAAATTGAATATTATGTGTTAAAAAGTGATATGTTTTTATGTGAACATTTAGAGAAGTATTTTGTGGTTAAAACTTATATTTCGACTTGCAGTTGAAATGTTCAGAACCACTTACAACTTTACAGCCTTTATCAACCAAATAATGTGCGATCGGAATTTGTATGGCAGTTTGATTTGGTAGTTAGTACAGAGTGAACCGTGAAATCTATGCAGAGTAATAGTGTTTTGTTAGTTATATTAAAATTTACTATATACATAGTTGATGTGGGTTTACGATTTTGCAAACCAAATTAAACCATAATGAAAGTGAGTATAGCTACTAATATAATGATGGTAATTTAGAGTTTACACACTTGACATTAATTTTTCAAAGCTGTGAATTTATTTAATAAAACTTAACTTTAAAAATATGTAGCGCGATACTTATCACGAACGAAGAATGTCATTTGAAGGAAGAATTCAGTTTCTACATAAAACTATAATAATAAGCTACACATTTTTTTCAATTCAAATTGACTCATCGAAGTTAAAATTATCTCTTGACTTAGCTTGTTGATATATCTTTCTCATTTTACTTTAAATGATATACCTTATATTCTACTATAAATACATGTTCCACCTTCGATTATATTCGTATTCAGGCAGGTTATAACAAATGAAAAACACAAAACCCTGTTAAATAAGGATATATTTAATATTTTTATGCCTACAGAAGATTAGAGGCAGTTATGTACTGTAATGTATATTAATTATTAATGTTCATTTCCAATAATCTATACACCAATGTTTTTCAAAACATTTAAACCCATATCAAGTACTTGATATGTAGAATTGATAATTAAAGTGTACTGTTAGTCCAAAATAAATATATATGGGCATAAAATCCTTTGTTTCTTTTGCAATACTCTTGTCAGCAGAAATTATATTTTTCAACTATATCAACACGCAGTTTTAAGTAAATAATTTTTTGATTGTTTTCCAAATAAATCCGCCGACATGCATTATCTTGTCATTTTTAGAAATTTTTCAACTTGATCCAGTTAATAAGTCAACTCGTCTTTCATACAGTTAATTTCTTACTGACAATATTTTTGTGTTTGCTTGTATAAGCGCATTGAAACAAAATCTTAATGGATCTTTTAAAAAAGTATGATTAAGATAAAGTATTAATGTAAGACATCTAGGATTTTTTAACTAATTTTCTTTTAATATCAACCTTATTAATTTTTTTGAATTAAAATTCATTTTGTTATAATTGTTAAAACCTATATATATATTCTTGAAAACTTTGATTTTAATCAGAAATAGAAACAAAGCAATAATAATAAAATTTAAACTAGAAGAAAATAATTTTAATTTCTGTATTACAAAAATCTCTTACTTATAAAGGTTTACACGTTCACACTTTATAATTATTAACTAATTGTAAGTCATATATCTCGGGGTTGCAGAAAACTTAGCATATGATTTTATAACTTTATTTACAGCTTCTAAAAAGTCCTTCTCTGTTGCCACTTTCCTACGAGCTCTAATAGCAAACATTCCAGCCTCAGTGCAAACAGATCTAGAAATAATAATAAGCATAATGATTACTAATGACATAACATTAACTTAGTATATTTTATAAGTTTCATATACACATGTAGGGACAACAATTTAAATACAATTAGTAATGTTCACATTAATTATTTTAAGATAATTGAGTAATGAATTTCATACCTAATTTCAGCACCAGTAGAATTTGGACAGAGACGTGCCAACAATTCAAAACGAATATCACGTTCAACACTCATACTTCTTGCATGAATTTAAATATATGTGATCTTCCTTCCAAATCCGGAAGCCCAAATTCTACTTTACGATCAAGACGGCTGCCTCATGAGCGTGGATCTAAGGTATCTGGTCTATTTGTAGCCATAAGTACCTGTAATAGGTAGGGATAAATATTAAAAAAGATATAATATAATTTTAATTTAATATCACAAAAGATATTATGTAAGATGTTTTAATTTTAATGACATAAATATTACTTTTATATTGCCCGGGGGTCAAAAACCATCTAACTGGTTTATTAGCTCCAACATAGTCCTTGGCACTTCATTATCTCCACCTGCTCC